AAAACAAATAAAATAAATCAATAAAATAAATATCAAATATAAAAGTAAATAATAACATTAATAAACAAATCTCTCTCTATATACATATTCCGATTCCGATTTGAATGATTCAAATTAAATTTAAATTTTATTCAATATATAAAAAATTAATTTATTTTATTATAAATAAAAAGAGTTGTAAAAAAATAATTAATTTTTTATCATAATTTTTTTTATAATTATAATTTTTTGTTTATATATTATTGTGTTAGAAATAAATTAATCTCATCTATATCTATGATTCTATATAATGCTTTATATAATGATAGTGTTTTATGTTATGTATTTGGAGATTTATACGTGTGCAATCATATAATATTATATATTTTGAACATTAGCCACAATTATATATCATTAATTCAGCCCAATCAAATTATAGAAGCTATGTAATTTCTTATTTAAATTGTATATAGATAGCACATACATACACGTACTAATTTCATACACATACTAATTTCTTTTTCTCCGAAATGAAGAAGCCAATTGAGAGTCGCCCCGACCACTAATGACATCGCATTTTCTGGTTGCCAGCTAGCTCGCCGCGAGCTCGTGCGTGTCCGGTACCAGACCCTTACCCATCGACGTCAGGAGGAAGGGTATTACGGTAATTTCCAGAACAAAGTCAATGGCTTCAGCAGGAAAATCGCCGATTCAACATCGGAGCTCTGAAGCGGCGAGGCCGGGTCAGAATTCGGCGTTTTTCAACCTCCAGGAGCAGAATCTCAGTCTCGATCTCCGAAATCTTCTAGCGCAACACATCGGTCGGAAGATCCAGATAATACCCACCGAGTCGACCAGCGACGGGCCGATCGAGAACCCGCGCGACGCAATTGGGGATTTCACGAATATCCTTCACTTCCTCCGAAAAATTCGAGAAGGGTCTCACGGTCTCAATCTGATCGAGCTCCTGGAAATCTCTGCGACCCGCGTTCTTCTGTTCGCACAAACCGGGAATTATCACCATCGGCCATGGATTTACCAAGTAAACTTTCATGAGATCACTGCAAGACTAAAATATATAAACCTATGTTGATCAATAATTCAACACAAAAAGACAACCAATTTGAAGTAGAACTATGTAATCTGAAAATCATGACTATATTATGGATATACTCAGAAGACAGACGTTATCAAAGGCTCTACAAAACTTACGAAGGGAACCGATAAAGGAAACCGATAAAGTTGTGGCATAAGTTTCGTTGTTTTCCAGCACCGGAAAACCCCAACTTGTATCAGTTTCCCGATACAAAGTTTCACCTAAGGAAACAAAAAATGTCAACTGTTTACCCTACAGTATAAAACAAACACGCGAGAAGAGGCTTTGAATTTCATCGTCGCAAATGTATATCAAGGGAGAAGAGATGATCCCCTCCGATATATCTTCAATTTCTCGCTTGTCCACCCTCCGTACAGATGAAAACAACGAACAAAATCATGACCATCGTACTATTGGATACCATCGAATTCATGCTAAACCGATGATAATAGAGAGAAACATGGAGACATATATTCAACCGGAGGAGTGAGGTGGGTGGGAGAGAACAACTCTTAAAAGCTGTCGATCTTAGGACAAAAATGGTTGGGCTCTCCATCTTCACCGATGACAGAATACAAAGCTTCAGGTGGAGATGTCGGATACTTATAATGGGGTTATGATTTGCTGAGCAAAATAAATGTGAGCTTTAGTATGTCAACCAATACAACGTTTCGTTTCTTCCATTTCTTGACTGTTTTTGCTCTATTCATTTGATTAAACTTTTTATCCATTAAATATCGGTTATATGTAAATCTATATATATTAATAAAGGAGTTTAAAGGCTTCTCATGAAACCGCATCATCATCTTATGTGGCACATTTTCAAATTCTGATTGGTTTCTATGAATTATAAATAATTATGATATTATATTGATATGTAAAATAATCAATAAATTGAATTAGTTTTATATATTAAAATAATATTCTGAGAAAATGATGTTTATAAAAAAAACAGAATTATTTTAATTAATGTTTATATATATATATATATATATATAATTGAGTTTAAAGGTTTGTCATGAAACCGCCTAAACAATCTATATAACAATTTTTTCCGTTTATATTGGATTATACAAATCTTGATTAGTTAAAAGCTTTTTATAATTAAAAATAAATAAAAATCATCGTTATTAACAGGAAAATAAAACTGTCATTGTGTTTAGAAATCAATGATATTTGGTGGAGGAAAATATTGGGAAATTTTTAAAAAAAAAAAAACGTTTTGTCATATCCACTAATGTCCACATTAAATTAAAATATTAAAAAGAAAACGTATTGTCATGTCCGTATGTATTATTTAGTCTTTTTTGGTGTATTAAAACCTATATCATGTCATGAGATTCAAACCAAGATCGGATTTCTCCAAAACCAAGCGAGATTTTCTCGTTTGGTCAACCCTTAAATGATCCGACTGACGCGATCTCTTCTTCATCAAGAGTATGTAAACATCGAAGAGCTTCGACCTTCTGCAAGTACTTTCATGGCGGATCTCCCCGCTATTGTTCTTATCATTGTCACTCTCATTGCCATTGCCATTGTCGTTGTTGTTGTCATCGATGGTTAATGTAATGGAGCTCTGAGACGTGTTACTCGACAAACCTATTTGTATATTAATGGAGTCATAGATCCCATTTATGCAATAAAAAATAATTTCTTTATTAATTTTATAAAATCTTACATAAAATTGCATAATATTCCCACCGGATTTCTCTCGTTTCAAGATGAGAATCTGATAAATATGTACCCGAAAATCTTCAACTTCCGAATTCGAATCCGAGATGTGGTTTCTTCATATATACGGGCGGAGATTGATCTCGAAGCTTCTCATCACCGATCCGGAGAAACATATCTCGATTCCAGTGTTCATGCGAACTTCGTGGTTCCGCAATAATTTTTCTTTTTGGTTTAATCGGCAAGAACTTATCTCCCCAATCTCTTTCAAAATGGACGGACCAATATTTTCGCAGAGCAACAACAATGAAGAAGGAGATAAAACCACAAAGAAGTAGTGGCGTGGAGTTCAAGGAGAAGTCTTACTCATACATATAGTGTAATAATAATCATGGCTTAGTGGGATTGTGGGATAACGAATAGTGTGATCGTTTTTTATTTTTAGACGGGAATGAATAATAATTATGATTTAGTGGGGCAATGAATAATGTTACCGTTTTTTATTTTCATTGACGGTAATGAATAATGATTAATGAGAGAGTTACTAATTTTATTTTTTAAACTAAAACAAATTAAGCAAAATGACATTTAAACCTTATTATTTATATATAAGATTGAGATGAGTGTTATTCTATGTATTCGTCTTGAAAGATTTCGGAGATGAGTGTTACAAATTTTGTTTGGTATATATTATGTTTTATGTAGCATGCGAGATCACGATAATCCAAATTTGAGATCTCATAGACAAACCGATATATATTGCATATATGTATCTATATATCATTAAAATTTTGTTCTTTTTAAATTTTTTAACATGATAGTGTTAGATGATAAGGTGTATGTCATGTCTGTATAATCATATATACATCCATATGCTTATTACACCTATATATATACATATATGTGTATGTGTATATATGCATGCATAGAAATATGTAAGTGTATATATATGCATAAATGTGTGTCAATATGTATATATAAATATATGTAGAAATATATATATGTATATGTATATATACGTATATGTGTATATGTATTAGTTAATTTTCTCTGTCCTAGAGTAAAAATTATTTTTTTGATAAATTGAAAAAAACTAAAATTTTTGTTAAGTTAAAAAGGGGGAACTTCCAAATTACCCTGAATGTGCTATAAGGACTTCTAGTGCTATCCTCCTCTTGAAAAAAAAAATTCGAACTTCTAATATACCCCTCTCATTCACAAATTACACAAATACCCTTTAGAATAAATTAAAAAAATAAAAAAAAACTCCTTTTTTTTAGGGTTTCTCTTTCTTCAGAAACGGTTTCTCTCTCCTCCTCTCACCATTATCGACTAAGCTCTCTCTCTCTACTGCGTTTTCTCTCTCCTCCTCATTTAACTATTTTGTCTTCAAAATTTGTCGATTTTGGACAAAATCACGTGCAAATCAAGGCGAAATCAGTGACGAAAGTGGAAATAGGTAAGTTTGTATCGAAATCTCAATATTTTTCATACACATTGATGGTTGTTGCGGTTTTTTTCCTTCAATTGTTGTGTTTTCTGTAGTTGTGTCGTTTGTAAACAAAGATCTGTATCAGATCTGCATTTTGGATGCATTCCGAGCATCGTTCTGTGTCACGGGTCACACAGGTTAATTGTCATGAATGTCAACATGGGTATATGGGTCACAATGATCACAATGTGCACAACACTTATATGGGTGATTATAGAAACATGACACAATGGTCACAATGTGCATCATACAAATAGATTAGGGGTTATATGGTGAAGTGGTCACGCGGTCACACTATTACAGGGTCACTTGGTCACATGGTTCATGAGTCATTAGGAAAACCAGTCACATGGGTGACAATAGGAACAGAGTCACAATAGTCACAAGGTTACAAGGTCACAAAGTCACACGGTCACAAGGTCACATGGTCACATGGTCACATGGTCATATGGTCACAAGGTCACAAGGTCACAAGGTCACAAGATCACATGATCACATGGTCACATGTTTCAGAATGGTCAGATTGGTAATAATGGTCACAAAATCACATAGTCACATGATCACAATGTTGAGAAATGTCGAGTTAATCTTCATTTTGTAACTCTGTTTTCCAGTGGTATAATGGAAGGGCGAGACGAGATGTCAACAATTATATATTTTCTATATGGCGGTGCTTGGATACAGAATAAGAATGGGGAATATGAATGGGAAGGAAGGGTTATGGAAAACCAAAGATTGTTATTCTTTTGTCCCCCCTTGGAGATGACCTACAGTGAACTTGTTCGAGAGTTATGTTCGGAGATGAAGGTGGATAAAGATAAAGTAGAGATCAAGCTGAGCTATTTACCAAATATAAAAGAAAACAGAAAGCCCACCTACCTATGGAATGACAGGCATGTTCATATTTATCTACTGGATAAAATAAATGGAATGCGAGGCATGCTTTATGTGGAGATAGATGAGGTACGGGTGAAAGGTGAATGTGAACAAAATGATGAAGAACAACCTATAATTCCTACTGGTGAAAGTGGTGTTGGAGGTAGTAGGAAGCGAGATGGGATAGATTATGATGATTGTGTTATGTTGAGCCCTAATTTTAAGAGTAAAATTGGGAGTAATAATGTGGCAGAGGTTATACATCTTTCTGACAGTGAACATTCTAGTGGTCTTAGGGATGTTATAGTGACTGAATGTGATGGGGATCGTGCTGATGGTGGTGATGATTTGGCCATTGAGATAGTAGCAGACTCTCGGTTTTCGAATTTTGTATTCAGTTTCAGTGATGGTTTAAATATCACAATTGGCCATGAGTTTGACAATAAGGAAGCAGCACAAGAATTTGTTCACAAGGGTGCAGCTATGGGTCGTTTTCGTTACAGTACACTGAAGTCCGATAAAAAGTTGTGGGAAATAAGATGCAAATTTGTTGAATCGGGCTGTAATTGGAAGTTGCGGACGACATTGATTTTAAACTCGGAGCGTTGGAGTGTAAAAAAACACAATCCCATGCATAGCTTTAAACCCGTATCTGAAACAAGCGAAGCTTTGAGGGGTACAAAGAAATTGGTTCGGGATTATTTGAAGGAAGAATTTTCCGGTAAACTTGATAGTACCCCTTCAGCCCATGAAATTGTAGACAGGGTAAAAGCCAAGTACGGTACAACCGTAACATATTTGACGGCATTACGAGGCAAACACAAAGCTGAAAGTGCGATTCGAGGTGATCCTGCTGAGCATTTCAGAAAGCTTCCTGGGTGGTTGCACATGTTGCAAAAGAGAAATCCCGGAACGATTGTCGGTCTTGAGTTGGACAAAGATGGCAAAAGTTTCAAATATCTCTTCTTCGCATTGGGTGCAGCGGTAAGAGGATGGAATTACATGCGTAAAGTGGTTGCAATTGATGCAACATTTCTCACGGGACAATATAAAGGTACATTGGTCGTTGCGACGACACAAGACGGTGACCACCACCTATATCCGTTAGCCTGGGGGGTTATTGACAGAGAAAAAGATGCATCATGGAGGTGGTTTATGAAAATGTTAATAAAGGCAATCTCAGATGGACCTGATGTTGTCGTGATTTCTGATCGACATAGGAGTATAATAAAAACCGTCAGCGAAGTGTACAAAGAAGCAGGGCACGGATTTTGTGCGAGACATATAGCACAAAATTTGAAAGTCAAGGTTAACAAAGGCATGGGAAGAAAAAGTTCGAGAGGTGATACCGTTGCCGAACGGTTCTTCAAATGCGCGGAAGCTTATACGTTGAACGAATTTGAAGACCTGTTTAATGATATGAAGGACAGGTACAAGGTTTTTTTAACCATTATTACCTAATCTAAAATTGTGATTATTCTGAAACATGTGGCTGTGTGACCATGTCACCATGTGACCATGTGACCATGTGACCATCATCAATGTGACCATCATCAATGTGACCATGTGACCATGTGACCGTGTGACCATGTGACCATGTGACTTGTATATTGTGGCTATTGTATATTGTGATCATGTGACCA